TTTTTTTTTTTTTTTGAATGTAAGAAAAACGCGGGAAAAATAAAAAAAAAATGCATTTCGGGCTGTGATCGTTTAGTCAACGAAATATAAAAAAAAGTACAATGCAAAAAAAAATGTATCTTATGAATACATTTTATGAATGATCGAATTTATATGCTTTTAAATAAAATTTTAAAAATAACTTTTTATTACTTCAGTCTTTACGTCATTTCTTTATCATCAATTGAATATTTTTCGTTTGCCTTTCTTTCTTTCTTTTTTTTTTCATTATTCTGTACATGCATTTTTTGTACACGATTACCAAATCGTTGCCTTTCGACGAAATACTTACGAAGACAACTTACGTTTATATTCCCATAAAAAGCAATTTTTACTACATGGTAATACTTCATTCAGATAGATATATCGAGGATATAAATTAATATACTAGGTGTAATCAAAATCATAATTATGATTATTGAAAAATATTAATATAGAAAAATCTGTCAATCAACTTTTAATTGTAATTTGTTTCATTTATCATCAATTACGATTTAGTTTTTTGTTTTAAATATTTAAAAAAAATCTAATTATTTTTAATCATTTCAAATTGATATCATATTTCCAACTCTTTATCTCTCCTAAATATTTGAAGTTCTGTTTCGAAAATTTAAACATTTGCAATTTTTTGTCCAATTAATTTTATAACCTCGTTATATCTTCTAAGTCGACCATATCATGATTTCAATCTAAACGAAAAAAAAAAAATAATAATAATATGTGAAAGAATGGATCGAAAATCACTAATAACGAACAGTTACGAATAATACTAATGATATTTATCATAACTATTAATATATATCTTTCTCGTTTAGTTGAACTTTCATTTGTGATTTTTGAACACCGAGCGGGAAAACTCTTTTCTTCTCCCTCTCCTTCTCGCGCGCGCGTGTATGTGTGTGTATGTGTATCGAGGCAACGTATATTACACGGTACAGAAGTCTTCCTTTCAAATCCTTCGCATTTACACTAAAAAGTAACACGAACTTCGATTTTAATATTTTTATAACCTACATTCCGATGAGTGAAGAGATACAATTTCTAATTAAGATTTGGTTAACGTAACAAGATAATAAATTGGGAAAAATTAAAATTGGTTAATAGAAAAAGAAAGATAAAATTCTGCTTAAGATGTTATGCATTACATTAATAACCAAAATTATGCGAAAACAAATGTAGTAAAGAATTTTCAAGCGTTTGACAATTTTTTTTTTAGTCGTCTATTGTAATAGAAAGAAAAAAATGAAAAGAAATAAAAATGTTAATGAAGAAGCGAATGTATGGTGTGTTGGATTTCAAAGGCTTCGTTAAATCTGTACAATCCTTATGATAATAACAACAAC